ATATATATATATATAGTCACTGCCAACGATAACAGCTAATATCCTTCAAGTGCAGCAACTCTCGTCGGAGTTCTCGAGTGGTAGCGCGGCACCTCTGGTCGCTGCCTTGAACCACTGTTCTTGACTCTGCTACGGTCTCTGTAAGAGCTGCTGTGTACGTGTATGTACAGGAGCTGTGTATCTAACTGTATTCCAGCACGCCGTTTCGACTATCTAATTTACGTTCCCAGCCAACAGCAGGCTTGCCCGTTCCTTCTCTAAAGCTAAGCATGTTGGTTTGGTTGAGAGCTCTGAGCTGAGGCTCCGCGGCTGCCCGCTTCGTCGGTGTCTCGATCTGGCGTACATGATACATGTGATGCTACTCCGCAATAATATACGACACCACTAGGCTCACGTCACAGTCGGGCTGTGATGCAAGCAAGCATAGAATCAGGCCAGCGCAATAAACGTTCCACAGTAAAGAGCAGGACTGCAGAAACATTGGTAACTACGAGGCTAGAACCGCCAAACTATACTCCTCTCTAACTACTAATCTTCCGCCTCCTGTTCTCCTTAGAGCTGTCTATATCAGCAAAAAGATGAGCACGTAAACTGGCTACTGGCTGCCAGTAATGGCAGGTTTTGAGACTGCCGATCGACAACAGCATATGATGCTATGGGCACGGTAGGCCCTACACGATGGCACGCCGGTGCTTCAAACTGGACCGAAGATGAATATGTATGTGTGTGTACATTGAGAAAAATGTGCAGCAACAAATATAGAAGAGAATCGTCAGGGACGGACATAATATACGGGTGGGGTAGTAGACCTTGACTGTCGTTATTCAACTGCGATACGTTTCGCTCGCCTCTGTATCACTCCAAGTGACGCGGCGAAAAGGGGATACGCGAGCGTAGTCAAAAATTACTAACAAGCTACTCTATTATGCTGACCGAATAAGAGTCGCTGTTTGTATCGCGGTCAATTATCGCTGCGCGCTGAAACCTATCGGGATGCATTTTAAGGCGGATCATTCCCCTTTTCACAGTCCAAACATAGCAGGAAAACTATACAACAATAAACATCGAGCCGTTATTTCTCTAAGTTGATTAAATAAAGACGGAGTTTTCCCAACACCATTGAAATTGTACAATTTAATTCTGCATTTGACTGTTCCAATAATATCACATAGTGGAACGATAGTACAAACATCAATGGTATTAATCATATCTGTCTGGTATTGGCAATATAAACGGTAGATGTGAAAGAAGCCATTCTAAAAGTAGAGAGTGTAAAGAATCAGTAAGAAATTCTGTTTGTCAACAGTCGATACCCTAGCTCGTTAGCAACATACAAAAGAGTAAGCTTAAGAATAAAATGGAAACGAAAGTTGCCTCTGTTTCTATCAACTTATTTTCTTTTATAGAGCCCGTATACAAAAAGGGAGATGGGACAAAATCGAGGACAATATTCTGGACTCTTGCTCTCATTTGCGTCTAAACTTAAGAGGTTCTAAGGTAAACGATTCAATTTTTATGAGATGATTCCATTTCTAATGTATTTCGATAGTGCCTAGCCCAAGGTGGACAAATACACGAATAGATCAGAATCTATCACGGAAAAAATATCAAAACTGAATTAATATCAACGGCGTACTTATTTCAGACACGGACTGGCTTTAAGACGCAGCACGCCATAAATACCAAATCAGATTATAGTAGGAAAAAGATAAGTCTTCTATATATCTTGAGTTTTTCTATTTAATAGGTTCACTTATCCTTAACGCCTAGTATATTCCCTAGCGAAATAACTGATCAATCCCCCAAACCGTTTTACGTCCGAAATATTATAGATGACATGTCAACGAACGCATGGCGTTCGTGGCCGGAGACGTCTGCTTGGGGAATTATCTAATTGCTTTGTAGGAAAGGCCGAACGACCTGCCACCTTCAATTCGCAATATTTAGGTCAGTTGCGGTTAGCACAGAACCGGTCCAAGCCGACCTGCCTATCGTTACTTCAAAGACGTCTCTGGCATATTAAACGACGTAACGAAGTGGCTCAATTCTAAATCGGCTCGAGAAGAATCAATTGGTAAAGTAATTTTGTTGACTGTACGATTGGTCTATACGGGCGCGGCACGTTGCTCTTCAACTTCACAGCTGCTTATCAGTCAGCGATAGGTAATACGTACCTCGTCTCAAGTAGGGGTTAAACAGACAGTCACATTACAAGTTTAGCGGGTCCGTAGTCTCTGTACTGTAGGTGAGTACCGAAGCTGACTCTATAGATACGATGGAGCGATAGCTGGAAACGCACTTAGACATGCATCGTATATACTGCTGGTGGTATCGGATTAAACGTCCATGAATCTTTTAGGCTCTTCAAGCCGCTTTCAACACTTGGCCTGTGCGTAGTGTCCAGGCGTTGACTTAGCAGATATTGCACTTGTTCGCCGATTGCGTCACTAACCGTGATTTACGATTGCCGTCAACAACAGAAGGCACTCTAGGCGAAGTACACAGGATTTGCTCGGTTCTCGCTAACGTTTCCTTAATCAATTTCTCTACAAAAAAAAGTAACGTAAGTGTCTACGTACGAAACGTGGATTTATGATGAACGAAATGAGAAATAAATTAAGAATTCCTGGGTACAGATCACTGCAGATAACTGCAATTTCCATCATTGCAGTGCAGTGATACTAATGGTATGGCATCAATATGTGCCTGTATATGTGAGCGGTATGTCTAGTATAGATATATGTTGAACACCGCTCTCTAGAAGGGAACGCTGTCGTTGCTGAACTTTGTCTGAAATCGATAAAAATGTTGCCTAAATTAGCAATTACGTTAACCTCGCTCCTTACCTTGTTGAGATGGTTGTCCTGCTGTAATCAGCGGGGTCTGAGGCGCGGATGGTGCACCAGGTGGGTGAGTGGCCGGTGCAGGTCCGACCCCGAACTGTTCTGCATGGGCGCCATAGATGGGTTGCTGGACATTGCCAGCAACGCCCGACGCAAAATCTGGGTCGAGGTCACCGCTGAGATCCGACGAGGAAAACCTTCGATAATTGATTACAGCGTGTAACGAAAACAACAAAAGCGTTAGTACATCATCAATACCTTCATATTTGCCATTTATGGATCATATAAAGAGTACTACATATGCTTCACGAAAACGCTTCACCAATTACAATATCTGTCGTTTAATTTAATCACTTTTTATTTAATGCTGTGTCGAATGGTGATTTTATCCAGTTTCGGTTGGAGGCTTAATTTTATGTCAGTGGCAAACGGCGTACAGGATCTCAATCGTATCACGCACCTTTCGGCAACCCGCGGATTTTCAAAAAGTTAAGAAGACAAAACCCTCATTACGCTCATAAAGTGGTGCTAGTAAGATTTGTGTGTTATTCTACTAAATCGGTAGAAAAATATTAATGAGCTTATGGTATTTGAAAACTCTGGGACTACGTAAGTAGCTTTCAACCAAGGTGATCTCATTATCAGTCTCCACACGTTGTTCAAAGGCGAAGAGTCCAAGATGCTTGACTGACCATGCTGTAACTCTACGAATATGTGCCTTTCATGGTGGTTACGCCTTGATATAGACGTGCTAACGTTAATCACAAAAAGGCTTTATAGCCTTAAACGTACATGATTTGTAAACGGTTCACATATCGTGACTTTTTCGAGCCGCAGGCCCTTGTGCAAACCAGACAAAGTGGCAATATTGGAGTTTTCAGCTATATTCAGCCTCATAAACCATAAGCTTCTCGCAAGCAGGCTGAGCCCTTCTACCGAAGAATAAAATCAAAATCTAGATATTTTTTTAAAATGATTATTGTGGGGCTGCTTTCACTATGTCAAAGCGTCTGGCCTATTGTTTTTAAGCATCCATTCCTCTGTCCGTATACTTGACAATGATATTATTCCGTGTCTATTAATTATCCTAGCAAGCGGCTCGAAGTATGGCACAATTACCTTGATGTCGATTTTGTGTAGAACGCTTTCCTCTCGACAATTAGATACAAACCCAAGTTTAATACGAGAATCTTCCGAAGTAATCTCATATCAGACCCAGCAGCTTTTTCAAACTGAAGGCGATTCGTATCGATCGAGATTATTCTACGACACTTACTTTTTTTTCCGATAACAAATTTACAGAAGCCTAGAAAATAACATTCGATCAAATGAGCTGCTCGTTACATTATTTCGAAACAGACTATTTCTGAGCTCTGTCGGCCGCTAAGCCGATTCGGTTGCGGTATAGACATTACCCAAGCATATCATTCACTTCAGTCGCACTTCAATTGAAAACGCCTTTTTCTCCTAGGTTTAAGGCTACAGAATACGCGACACATCTACACACGAGAAAATATACAAGCTCTCACTCGTGAGTAGAATAGTTTTCGAGATGCTGCAATGAGAAACAATTTTCTTGCCGTAACGGATGACCTCTGTTTGATACATTGAAGTTCAGAACAACGGGTATATTACCTAAGCCAATGACCTAAGAGAGACTGAGAGATTTCCCCACAGTGACCAATGATGAACGACGCTGAATGGCGTAAGTAAACCTTGTTTGCCGTTAGTCAACATAAATAGACACCAAGCCATTGGGCAGCTGTAGCAAATAGCAAGTAGAAGTCAATTAGCAGACGATGGAACTCGCAGGGCTGCTTAATATTGGATAGTCTATGTTGGCGTCAGACCACCCGTCAACCGAACGATGACTAAAAAACGCTGTAAAAAAGTCATTTAGATATTATCTCAGGCAAGGTGCTAATAACATGTATGGCCACAAAGAGCCACCGCGGCCATCTGCTCAAGAACAGTGGGAAAGATATCAGATGGCAGTAACAGAGGTTCTTCAAAGCACGATTGCCTATTCAATTATGAAAGAATGCTTAATGGTGCGATCTTTCTAGAAGTAAGGTTCGAAATGAAGCTATCGCGGGAAGTGATAGCACCGCGATCGAGTACACCGCATTTACGTAAACTGGTAATGATCTGAAGATAATTTTCTCATGCTGACCGTAAGTAGTACAAATCACTCCGCTTCAGCTCCGATCGTATGTTGGCGGCTGCCCTGAACGGTTCCGATGAAGAAGTCACAGTACGAGCTGTGTGCACCGTAGTGGAATCGAATCTATCAAGGGTAGCGTATTCGTTTCGACTACAATTAGGTAAATATTTGTGACGATGCTACCGAACGTTTTTAAAACGTAACGAATATCGCTATCCTTCGTTGACAGCCTGTGGGAAGCCAAATTGGATAGCTTGTTGTATGAGCCCATCAACTCGCGACGTCGTCTTGTTCATACCCGGAAATTAACTTGTCAAATAAATACGTCGCCTTAGATTCACTTAGGATCAAGTGATTAGTTCGTCGAGACCGTGAGTTAGAAGTTTACTTATACGCAGCCGATAATTAAAGGACAAAGACACTAATTATGTATCATTGGCTGTGATGTAGTTATTCCTATCTATTATAAACTACTCAATCAGGCTTGTTGGTCTATTTTGATATTGATAATCTCAAAGAATAATTATCTATTTGAAGTCAACTTTATAAGTAGAACATAAAGAAATCTTTTAGGATGCTCAATGTGTTTTTGTTGAACGAGTTAGATTTTTCTGAGCGACGGAATTCGGCTTATTGATTAGACAGTCTTATTTACTTGGACTAGCAGCTGACCAATTCGATTTTGTAACTAATATTCGGTTTATTTATCATACGATTGCCAAGAAATTTTACCTTCTCTTCAAGAAATTCGTAGTCGATGTGAGGCTCTGTCTGAACGAGAACGAAATTTTGCCCCTTTTAAAGGTTCCTGCTGAGAAGAATATCGGCCTGGTGGCCCTCTAGGAGCTGACAGCTGAAACGAAAGATTGAACAATATTTTATCGTACGTTCGTAATGCTCACATGTATTTCTATAGCTATCTAACGGTCATGTACAAAAGCTTGGACGACTGGTTGAAAATTATTTTCCCTAGGAAGCTTGAAGTTTCTAATGGTCTTCATTTTGATTGCAAGTACTTCACTATAAAGATAAAATGGCTAACTAGTCAAGGTATATTTAGCGAATTTTTAATAATAATAATTTAGCAGATAATTAGATAGGAAAAAAAATAGATAAATAACCAATGCATACTTGGATACTTGAACATTTTGTTTCAGCTAATTTGATCACGTACGTAATTTTCTTACGTAGTTTCTGTGTCATTCCTTCAGTCCTCCCACATAATAGATAATTATGACAATGATATTATATCTTCACAACTTCTTAAATTAAATTAGAAATATATAGATGATACATATTATACGTTCAATACGATGTACGATCGTTGTTCCGATTTATAAGCTTAAACAGGTACCGTTGACTGGAATCGACTGTGGGCGCCAGTGCGTCCTATAAAAGGCATTCTGTTTTTCTGCCGGGTTTTGTAAACATAATATGGCATCCATTGTGTAGTTATTTCGATCTAATGTCCGCGATGAGGCGCGCTTGAAGTGCAACGAACGAAACTGCAAGTATGAAATGCTTTGGAAGAACGCTGATAAGGACGTTCACATTATACATACACATGTGTGTATAACAGACAGTTAATAATAAATGAAAGCCCAGACTGGTTTAGCCTAGGACCTAGATGGCGTCAGTTCGCAGTGGCATCTATTATTACAACAACAAATAGAACAATTTGTTTCAATGGGTTACGTTAGAAGTTAGCGATTTAGTATCCCAGTGAAAAGTTCCGTGCGGGTCATTGGAATGGGAGCGAAACGGTACTATCTAGCATATTAGTCTAGTATAGGCTGAATAAATCTGACTGGCTAGTCTCTGTTTACGTTGCGGGCAATAGGTCAACATTGTATAAAACGTTACTGCGCCAAATTAACCATGGCTATTGCCATAGCAACATTTCCATGCCATTCTCACCCTGTTTCAATTCTTCACGCTCTAGTTAAACGTAACGTGCAGCAGGTCTGTAGTGGGTAATGTTTAGCGTTCGTAGTAGTTTTGTTACGGACCATCAAGCTCAAAGGCCGTACAAGGAGAGAGGAGGCATCAGTTGGATTAGTCAAGATAGAAGCTCTTCACCGGTCAAACGAATCTGCCAGTAACCTGTTCTGCCGCAGGCCACAATGTCATCATGCGAAAAAGGTCAACATGACAGCAGGCCATGTGTCAGGAACGATTTTTAGCTATTCTTTCTTGACGTGATTGAGATACACTCGAAACGGCGGGTCTCGAGAACATCTTGTGGTTATCACGCGTGGTTTTTACGAAATTAGAAATGAATGTCTGCGTACTAATGTCTCTGGACAAACTGGAATATGTTAGAAAAAGGTGTTTCAATTACTGTTGCGTCCAAGCCATTTGATAAGCACTTACAAATGGAAAATCACTATACTTACTATCTAGTACAGGTCATTGGCAAAGTTTGAGCTGGTAATTTCTGCTCTTTAGCTAAGGGTGTAGCGGTGTAAGACGTGCGCCCACCTTGTTACGCTAAGTCAAACCATCTGACGGACTTCCAGTCAATTCTCTGTTCATTAAAATTACAAGGATCCATGACGATGTCATTATTTAGGAGCAAACCTGACTTAATGTATCCTGTTTTTCGTCACCGTCATATTCTGAATTATTGAGTTTGCCACTACAAGACACGGAATTAAGCAAGTAACGGACTTTTGATTTGCCCGGCAATTTTCAACTGAGTCTGTCAACACATTTGTAGATATCATCAGACGTGTAGAAGGGACCAGATAACACTACAGCCCCTATCGTACAATGCTTGTGGTTAATCATTGCCGAAATGTTCCGTAAATAAAAAAAATGTCTTAGACCGGGTCAGTCATCGCATATTTTACATTAATCCAACCTCTACAGTAACAAAAAACGTGATAATAGCAGTAAAATATGAACTTTTTATTTGAATCTGAAGGCTACTACAATGAACTTCAAAGGCCTAAGCTTATTAGGAAAATACAAGAAAACGTTGCAGGAATTGGCTGCGGCGACCTATCCCAAAAACTTTTTAGATTAATCGAACGTATTAGAACGAGAAATAAAGCAGTTTTTAACTACCCTTTTATGCAACCAGCCAATTGATTGCCAGCTCCATTCTTGTCCCGCCATGACAAATACGATTGCTCATAGAACGCGCATCGTAAGATATATAAACTTCTTTTTCCAATCCTGCGATTAGTCAGCAATCCGCGTTAGGTAAACAAGCAAAGTATTATTAATGCGTTATCTTTGAACTGGATTAATCGCGCAGGACAAACAACAGCATAGAAACAGATCGCGCTAAATAGCTAATAGAGTTTCATTTATGGCTGGTTGTAGACACATCCTTATTCCGATTTTTATTCCATTTGTGAGCAACGACTGCTTAGGGAACGTCTAATTCAAGTGATATTGGTACGCTATGCTACAATATAACAAGCATATCAAATGATTTTTGGGTGGCCTTTCAATTTGGGTGGCCTCGTTGGTGCTTTTCGATGTCAGCGCAAAGCTTTCGTTCTACTAGATACATATAATTATCGCAGCGTTGGAGAATAGTTCCTACGCTGGGCTTTACCGATTCTCCTTGGCCGTCAAGAGCGGCCATCGATATTGGGTTATAATCTTGAAAATAACCACGAAAAAGTCGAAACATTGTGATGGAAAAATGTAACGAAATATTTTATCTATAGTTCTAAACACGAAGTGTCCAGTTCGTTATATATAACCTGTGCGAGCACCAGGGGCAAACTGTACTTTTTTTTTCGCCCTCTAAACCGATGGACTGGCGGGCCAGCAGGACTGGAACAACAATGGCAATTTCGATTAGATATAAACGTATCTACAGTGTAGTAGTATATTTGCTTCACATAGCCCTACATGCAATATTGTGATTTTTCAGTATGTCCTACTAACAAAAGTTCTACAACTATGAACACTGAGAACAAACTGTTCTAACTACGAAGCACACATAATGAACTTAAAAACTCATTGACATGCATGAGCATAGCTGCGTTTCCATTAGCAGTATCGTAAGAAGGAAAAAGCAAAAGCTTATCTTGAGAGTTAGTTTAAAAGAGGCAACTAAAAATTCTCGAACTCTCTTTTTTCGTAAGTTAGATTTCATCACATTAGACAGAAATAAGTTAGAAAATCAATGAGATGGGCAAACCCTGAACTATTGTGGGAATATAGTTAGTTAGAGGAAGCGAACGATCAGAGAACTGGGCTAAACTCTCAGCCGCTACTAGGGCTAGCTTTTTATTGAGACTACACGAGCCAGAAGGGAGAACAGTATCTGCTGTAAGATTGCAACGAACTACTGAAGGCCTAAGTGAAATCAATATCACTCAAATTTATTCGCCTTTGCTGATAGTAGTAAAAGACTTCATATATACAGGTCAATAACGCATTATCCCAGTACCAGAAAGAGCATATAATACCATTTAAAGCATTTTATGTTACCGGGGTTGAACAAATTTCTATATGTTTCAATAACGTGCGCAACTCCAAGCATAGAAACAGGTTTTCATAGGCAAAAGGCAACCTGGCGAGATTCAAGGTGTCAATGGTCGTTGTCCTGTCTCTACGCCTAAGCTTCGCCTCTGTCAGGTTTACACTCACTCCTATATCTGTGACTGCGGAGTGAAACCGGGTTGGAGCTTGGAACCTCTTTGATTCGTATATCATTAAGTCGTCTCCATAGAAAATTATTTCGACTGACTTCCTCAGCCCTCCTCATTGCAAGATGCAGAACAAGAGTGGGCTTAGATTGTTTCCCAGGCCAATCGTCTGTGCGAAGGGTGGAAGTTTGGGCACTCCGTCATCGATAGTTACTCTGTTCTCCTGTAGAATCAGAGCTATAAGTTTAGGCACATTCGTAGGGATATTTGCTTTGGCTACCGTGAACATAAGTTTGTCTTTGTGTGTCAAGGTGAAGGCTGTCTTTAAGTCGATGAGCGCGTAGCGGATGGCATGACATCAGTCATCAGGATACTATATACCGCTTCTGTGGAACGTTCTCTTGAGAAACCATATTGCTCCGTTGAGATGGCGTGTACATTTTCTAAGTACCTATTCAGTTCCTTAGTCAGCAAGCCGAAGAGCAGCTTATGCCAAACTTTTTTTTTCATTACTTCTCGTTACAATGATAATGCGATTGAGTCGCCCATTCTTTTGGGGATCACTGAGAGAGTTGCATCTCTCCATTGGGCTGAGAGTGTAGCAGTGTATAAACGTATGCTGCAGTCCCTATTTGAATCGGCGATTTTCTTATATTAGTTCCCGCACTGTGAAGCTTTGTGGAAGAACATCGTTTGGTATTGATATTCCTTTTTCTCATGCTGCAGGGAAAGAAAACACCACATGTGGTACTGTATCCCTTGATTCAAATGTCCCCGAGAATCAGTTTATAAGGGCCGCCGGGTTGATTTGGTACGTTATCCACTTGTATGGTTCTGCATTGGCTACTAAAGTTTTCAGCTGTTGAAGGCATTGTCGCCTGAACACGTTAAAAGACAGATATTTTTAAAAACAGAGGTTAAAGGGTAGGACTCAGGTTATACCTAGGCTATAAGCCTAGGTCTTCCCAGCAAGGTTGCAAGTATAGCTAAACCTCGGCCTATGTTTCCCAGAAAAACGAAACGGCTGTATAGAAAACTGTATCAATTAATTAGGTTCTGGGCCTAAGTTTCGGTATTCAGCATGTCAGGTATAGGGAAAACTTGAGGGGTGCGTTCCAAGGGTTTCTCTATAGTTATATCGATTATTGAGCTTCCTTAATGTCCTAATAAAATCGGTGCCAAGATCGGATGGATTGACCGACTAACGAGCCACCAAAACAGTTGGGCCAGTCGTCGACAATGGTCAAAAGAGAAGTAAGATAAGAAGCGTTCCCAGTCCACTGACAAGCTTCCTCATCCAGGTTGATTCTAAATCAGCCAGTCGAACATAGGCTGTGACAAGACATAGTTGCTGACCACGAAAGGTAGTAGCGTTATTCTTTACTAGACACGACGTGAGATCTCCTACCTTGTACAAAATGGGACTAGTTTCATTAGGAGATCTTAGCCCGAGGCTCTTTACTAAAGGGCAGCGCACAGAATAAAAATGAAGGACATTTAAAGATTTAGTTGCCTAAATCTTCGCCAATAGAGCCAAATAGAGGTGCCAGAGTTGCAGCCCCTGTGCAATTCATAACACCTCCTTGAAGCTTGGCCTCACTTTCAGCTTAGTGGTCGTCTTCGGAAATAGCTGCGGTGATTCAACTTGTCGCCTACCGGAAACCAGCCCTTCAGTCTTCAGTTCTGCCAGAACCATTGGCTTGGTACTGCCTTTCCCGTTGGCGGTTTTTTAACGGTGGCTTTGCTTTGCAGCGATCAGCCTTCCTGAAGTTAGCATTGGGAATTTAGTTGCGCTGACAGGATTTGCTGTTCAAGTCTTTTTGTGTTGCCATCATCGATGGTCTGTTGGCAAACTTCTTCTGATTTACTTTTTTGGAAATATTGCAGGCAACCTTCGCGATTACCTTACTCTCGTAGCTGTACTGTTCACTTCCTACGATTGGGGACTGTGATATAGGGAACGGAAGAACCGAGAACCTTGCATCTTCTTGACCCACTTTTTTTTTTGTAAAAAGATCATTGGCCGCTTCTAACCCGAGACACGAGGTAATTAACATCTCCAAAAAAACTCCCCACCCTGCTGCCACATCTGTTTTTCAGGTTCTGCGCAGCAAAGGTAAGCGGGCTGTTAAAACTCTCCAGCTTGTCTATCAGTCCTGTTAACACATATCTCTGTTTCACAGACGGCAATATCGAAGTCCATTTTCGGGAGCCGCACTAATGTTTTATTGTAAAGAATATATCTTAGCGTGGGACTGAGACGCTGTGGAGGCAAGGCTGCCGCCCACCACTTGCGTTGTATTTTGTAGTTGAGTAGAAGTCGGCCTCCCGAGGGCCTCTCCAAGATGTCTTGCTTTTTATAGTCGGCCACCGTCACCGTTCCCTATTCTTTTTTTTTATTTTGCTTCTACGTTTGATTCTTTTTCTGTCAGTTCGATCAGTCGTGAGAAATAAGAACGTCCCGAGACCCATTGGTTCGTGCCCCAGCGAGCAAACCGTTCACAAACTGTTCTATTTGCTACTCTGACGTTGCCATTTGGCATACCCTCCAACATGGTTTGCCTGCCAAATTGGACCAGTCTCTTCGATAGGCGACTTGCAAGCGACTTATCTTACTCTGTTGAACTTCAAACAGCCCACCTGTGCACGGTCTTGCAACCGTTTCCACTGTCTAGTCTTCATTCCCACTGTCCTGAGCACGATAATTGCGAAAGGAAAAGGACTTCGGTCTGTACTCTGATGAATGTAGAATGTGCGTCGCCTCTTGCTGTCGTAGCCTATGGGTCCAGTGGGTCACCTGCACAGCTGGCTCAGATTTGTTGTTGGTCCTATTGATGTTACGCCTGGGCTGGTGTGACCAGTTATCAAATGGAAGCCCATATCATAATCTAGTGATACGGGCATCCTCTATTCTGTTTTCCGACCCGTTTCTATGGGCCGGGACCTTACATTACGCATGTGTTCAGTAAAATTTATATATTTGGATGATACATACGCAATGCTCTCCTCCGTATTTCTAAAAGGAAAGTTATATAAATGATTTTTAAAAAATTGCACCTTTATTGCAATACTGCAGAAGCAGCAAATGATCTTTTGATCAAATGAACTATTAATATTTTTAATGAGCTTTCAGTAGCTTTTCATCGAAGGAGTGAATAGCTAAACGAATGATGTTTAAAAGCTAACCAAGCGACGAATGGAGTACAATAATATACAATTTCAATAACAGTTCATTATACCGTCATCGTGTTATAAACGAACGCAACTTTTCAATAGGAGGTAAAACAATCGGATTACAAAGGCCGATAAAAAGGTAAGTCAATATAATGTTTGTTATGCTGTTTTCATTTCGCCGTCACAATCTTCTGTTGATTCCGCACTGTGGTGAGCGGAACAAACTTCCCATATGGAGCCGCAGCATTACTGCATTGGTTAGGCAAATCGCCCGAATCACAGAGTTTCGTGGCCTAAACAAACAAGGTCTAGGAAGCTGGAAGGAACAGACAGAGAGTCTGAACCCATTTCTGTTTCAACAAACAATCCTTTCCTGTTTCAAACAAAAGAACAGGCGTATCGTCTTATACCTCATGCACACCGAAAAAGTGCACTCCGATATATAGAGTCAACTGCCTCAGTCAGATCTACGTATAACGACATGTCGGCGACGGACTATAGCGCCTATAATACGAGCCCATACACAGCAAGTTGTTACAGTTTCTAATATAGAATAACTTATATTGCGTGTGGTTATAAAAAGTACTGTTAACGCAGTTACCGTACAACAGAGTGCTGATGAATAGTTGTTAGATCTTGTAATCAAAAGGTAACATTTGATTCGGGCAAATCGGACAGTTATCACTTTGACGGAAAATTTACTTGGATTACCTGTTAGTTAATTTCTTATTTTATTAGTCTCCTGCGAAAAACAAAGCAGCATGAACTAAATTTTTGCTGAGTAATGAACTCATGAGTGAACATTGTAATT